CTGAGGTGGAAGGATCACCTGAGCCCAGCAGGTCAAGGCTGCAGTGGCCATGAACGTGCCCCTGCATTCTAGCCCTGGCGACACAATGAGACTCTGACTCAAAAATATAATAAAGGGGCCGGGCTCGGTGGCTTAGCCTGTAATCCCGCACCTTTGGGAGGCTGAGGTGAGTGGATTGCCTGAGCCCGCAAGTTCGAGACCCGCCTGGGCAGCAAGACCTCATCTCTACAATAAACCAAAAAATCAGCCGGGCGTGGTAGCGCATGCCTGTAATTCCAGCTACTTGGCAGGCTGAGGCGGAAGGATTGCCGGAGCCCAGCAGGTCGAGGCTGCGCACTGCACTTCAGTCTGGGTGACAGAGTGAGACTCCAACTCAAAAAAAAAAAAAGTATATATATATATATATATATATATATATATATATAATAAAGGAATAAATAAAGATTTCTTTACCCAATTGTCATTTTAATTTAACTTTTTTATTTTTCTTTTTAAAAACCAGTTGAAGTTGGTGGTTAAGAAAGGAAATCAGACCGAACATTTGCATCTAGGTGAGTCCAGATTCCCACTGAGCCTTTCCACTGTCTCTTGTTCTCTTCAGTCAGGGGCTGGTGGAGATCACACAAGTCCTCTCTTCCAGAATGATGGTCATACTATGTGGTAGGGCAGTCATCCACTGCCTTTCCTCGCATAAAAGAAATATGAGGAGAATTCGTAGGCTCTTGGCGGCTCAGAGACCCCCTGGTTGAAAAGCCCTTCTTAGCCGGGCTCCGTGGCTCAGCCTGTAATCCCAGCACTTTGGGAGGCTGAGGTGAGTGGATTGCCTGAATTCGCGGGTTAGAGACCTGTCTGGGCAACTTGGTGAGACCTCATCTCTACAATAAATCAAAAAATCAGCTGGGCGTGGTAGCTCATGCCTGTAATTCCAGCTACTTGGAAGGCTGAGGTGGAAGGATCGCCGGAGCCCAGCAGGTCAAGGCTGCGGTGGCCAGGAGCAATCACTGCACTCCAGTCTGGGTGACAGAGTGAGACTCCAAATCAAAAAAAAAAAAAGAAAAGCCCTTCTGGAAAAGGGACTGAAGGAGACTGATGAGCAGGAAGCTCTCTCTGTGGAAGGCACATGGACATCCTGAAGGATGCCCTGTCGTTTCTTTGTTCTGTGGAGTTGTGCCTTTTGCGGGGGGGCGCTAGGTTTTTGGGGTTTTTTTGGAGTTTTTTCTGGAGTTAGGCCATTTTAACACCTCCCCCCTTTTTATCTGTGGAGCTGAGAACGCCAACTCAAAAAAAAGGAAAAAAAAAAGCTGCTTTAGATGTACTAATCCAAACTAGAAGAAAACCTCTGGGTGGAAGTTAATTTTCAAGGGTGACTGTGGAGGGGAAGCACGTACTTGAAGGTGAATTTTCTCTCCCCAGAGTTAACCTTGCCTCAGTTCTACAACTTCCTGCACGAGATGGAGCGAGTCAGAGCCAGCATGGAGTGTCTCAGCTGACTTTGGTCCCCATGTGTGTCCCCTCCCCCCTTCGTCCCCAGTCCTGTCTCCGCCCTGCCTGCTCCCTCCCCTGGGTGACTGCCCTGAAAGCTTCTCCCTCAGGCCTGGTGGGGATGAAGCCCTGCTTGCCTCTTGGGAGTCCAGGTGTGGATCCTTCCTGAAAAACAACAGGATTAAGTACTTAAAGAGCGCATCACAGTTCCCCATAAATGTTTTGGTGAGGCAGCCACCACCACCTGTCTGTCTTTCAGGACACATTGTAGATATTCTGACAGCCTATTGCAGCTCAGGTTCAGGGAGAATAAGTTGTCACCTCCCCGTGAAAGTTCCAGAGTAAATGTGCCATCCCTCAAGATGACACATTGATCACCCTACCCTGAAAGATGGCCAAAGAAGAGGAAATTGTATGGATGGCTCACACCAAGTGCCTCCTGGACCCCAGCACACCCCGGGCTTGTGGTGGTAGTGTGCTGCCAGTTGGGTTTGAACAAGAAATACATGCTTCGTCTTCTCTGAGAAGAACTGAGGCTGAACTGCCCATTTCTGGTTTTGCCCTGTTGTGCTGTAACTAGGTGGCCTTTGGGCTCAGGCTGATCACCTCTGCTGGTTAAATGACTAATAAAAAATCCTGAAGGAAAGGGCTGAATCCATTGTCTTTCTCGGTGGGTCAGAGTCACATGCCTCATGGAGGGCTACTGCTTTTGTCTTCAGAAGTTTCCTTCCTGGCTTCAGTGAAGGCCCTGGGTCTCCAGGGTAATTAACTGTGGTCCGAAATTGGAGCTTGTAAGAACAGTTCAGGGGAAACTTGGGTTAAGAGCATTGGGGAAAAAGCGTCACACATGAAAGCTTTGTGTTCAGATGCTTTCGCCCCTGCCTAGCACGTGACACTTCCCCTTCCTCCTCCCTCTCCCCTCCTCCACAGACATTTTGTAAAGTTTTGAACAGATAATACATGCCCGTGACCCTAAAGTTACAGTGTGAAGTCGGTCCCCTCCCCCCATTTCCCAGTTCCTGGGTTCCCTCCCAGAGAAGACAGTCCCCGCGTTGCAGCTGTCTGTGCTGCAGTCTGACTCCTCTTCCTGCATGGATGGTGGCATCCTGCACATGCCATCCTGCCCCCTGCTGCTCTCAGCTTGGAGGTCGTTCCACACCAGGACTTGGAGAACTGCCCGTTCTTGGTCACAAACGCACCACTTCTTCAGTGGACGATTTATTTAACCCATTTCCTGTTGACGAATTTAGGTTGTTTTTATTATTTTTCTTTTGTGGATACTTCAACTGAATTATTTTTGTACACAGGTCATTTTACCTGTGTAGAAGTATTGGGTTGATGCGTAAGTTAGGAGCGTTTTTCTCTTGCTCATAGAATGCAAATGTCCCAGGCCAGGCTCAGTAGCTCAGCCTATAATCCCAGTGCATTGGGAGGCCAAAGTGAGTGGATTGCCTGAGCCCACGGGTTCGAGACCCGCCCGGGCAACTTGGCGAGACCACATCTCTACAATAAATCAAACAAATTAGCCAGGGGTGGTAGCACGCGACTGAAGTTCCAGCTAACTTGAAAGGCTGAGGCGGAAGGATCGCCGGAGCCCAGCAGGTCAAGGCTGCGGTGGCTGGGAG